GGGTAACTGCATCTTTACTTTGCTGCCTGCAGGTTTCACAATTTATGGCACTTTGACAATTTTTAATCTTACAACCTGTAACAACCTCAGGTAACACCTGCAAATCCTCTAAAGGATTGTGAATCGTTCTCTGATGCCATACGCATGCACATGTTAACATTATGAGCGGGAATTGTAAGCACGCTGGTTGGGAACTGTTAGCACGCAACGCTTGTGCTTTCTCAACCTTCCCCTCACCTCCAAGAGACGTTTTAAGAATGAAAAGATATTCTGTCCCTTCCGCACTTTGGCCCAGTAACCTCCCCCCTTTGGAGATCGTGCAGACATCGTTTTCAAAACAAACTTTGAACCCCTTACTTAACAAATAAGGCACAGATAACAAACAATGTTTGAATCTCTGGAACAATACATAAATCCACCGTCTCCTGTAAAACAGAAAGATAGGCATTAGTACACGTGGAAACTCTAGTTTTCTGTCCATTTGCAAACTTAATAGTCTGTCCCTTCGGAACTGCCGTGCAATTCCACCTCTCGACTGCAGGGTCTCTGGAACCATGTTGCGGTTAGCTGCAGAGTCAATAACAAAGGCCATCTCGGAATTTTCCACTCGGCCGTCTTCAAACACTGCCATACTCGCCGAGACTTGATAAGACTCTTCTCCCTGCTGTTTACCACGGCCACCTGGCTCTGTTCCACGCCTGCCTGTCTTCCCAGGCCTGTTGCCATGGAAACCCGCCTGGTTCCCATGGGAAATGTCCTTCACAACATCCTGCCGCGGCTCTCTGCACCGGTGGGGCACTTGCCACTCAGATGTTGCGCCGTGTGACGAACTCCAGTGGAAAAACACTGCCCGGGGCTCCCAGCTGGCTTGGCCTTCCTCCTTCTGGAACGGCGCCTCCCACCAGCCTCGCCCCCCCTGAAGCTGCTCTCCGCTTCAGCACAAAGGGAAAGTCCTTTAAACTTGCCTTTGGAACTCTTCGCCCCCCCGATCTGCTCACTAGCGCTCCTAGAGGCCAATACATCGGGAACAGGGCCTGCCAGTCCAGCCTTTCCAGGACTCAGTCCATCACACAGACGTGTAGAAGCATTACAACAGCTCCCCAACACTGTCCCAGCCCCCATTGGGCTTTCTGGGCATCCTTCTGCCTCTCCAGGGCTTCCTCCAGGGCTCTGGCCTTTCGCTGACGCCTCACACAAGCCTTTCAGCAAATTCCAGGCAGCCCACGCTGTCGTTACACCCTCCAACTGAGGCCCCAGTGACGCATCAACGCATGCTTTGAGCATATTCAGCTCTTGTTGCAGCCTCTGGCTATCTTCAGCCAACACAGCCCCACAGCTTGCTTCACCTGCTCCAGCTGCTGGCCGGCTAAGGGGTGTTTCTTTTGGCTCCCACTGGTTTGCTTCCCAGAGCCCTTCAACCAAGAACCATCCCCTTATTCTCCTGGACCACGTTGCCCAACTCTTTAGAGTGAGCTTTTCCACTGGTATATCCTGGCTCTCAGCCATCTTCTCCCGTTCTCCCAAGGGGCCCCAAGCTGTACTCACAAGCTCCTCTGGCTGTCCCTTCCGTGGAGAAACGATTTCTCAGCTGCTTTTCAGCTCCCAGCTGCTTCTTGCTTTTAGCTCTGTGTTCCAGCAGCTCTCTCAGCAGCTTCTTTGCCTCTTAGACGCAGGCAAACATCAGGCAAAAAGTCCTTCCGCCTCCTGCCGGCCCCCTGCTCGACACCGCAGACTTCAAAGCTCCCGGCAGTATCTTTCGTGACAGTTTTACAAGCGATGATTTATGGATCCATAACCTGTGACATACGGTAGTTAGCCGTGACTCCCGCTAATTGATTTACGAACCTCGATTAGCGATATATGGCCGCCCGGCACACTTCCGCAGCGCCTCTCCGTCACGGCTCAGCAGAGTTTCCGCACAGCGGTGTAGAACTGTCACGTTGCTTGGTTCAGCTTCCAGATAAACACACATAGACAGGTCCGTCTATTTACAGCTTTTATTCCAACATTTCTCAGGAATTACCAGGACTATTTGCAGCCATGCCAGACCTGCGTCTTTTCCCCACGGAACACAGAGTGGGACTGAACAAACAGGGAATAGTCCCGCCCAGCTTCTAAAGCTTCTGTCTCCGCCCAGCTGTAAGCTGACGTCAGCAGGTGACACACACCAGGGAATTTAACCAGATAAATTCTGAACTATAACAGAGGATGGTGCCACAGACCCCCTGGGTGCATTATGTGGACCCCCAGGGGTCCCTGGACCCCTGACTGGGAACCACTGCTATACAGTCTTACCTAGAATAAGATCCACAGAATTCCATGGCACTTACCTCTGAGTACACATACATAGGTCTTCAATCCTTTGCATATCTACTCAGAAGTAAGTTCAAGTGTATCTAATGGGGCATACTTCAAAATAAGTGAGTATAGAATTGCAGTTTAAGCATCAAAACCTCAGGCATAACTAGGAGATCAGGCAGGCAAATTCTTCCAAAGCAAAGAATGTTGTATGACACTAAAAAGGCCAGTGCTAATATTTTAAACACATATTTGCAATCCACTCTCATTGATCCCTTTTTGCTGGGAAAAGAAAAAGCTGCTCCAGTTTCTAATTTGTAGTTAGAGGGCAATTCAGTTTTGAAAATGTATTCCACTTTGGTTAATCTCAAAAACTCAGAGGATTTCGGCTATAATTCTGTGGAAAGACTAATTGTTTAACTGTCCATTTACTTCTCAGGATTTCCTTCTTTTTTCAATTACAGATTTAAAAACATTGTGTCATGTAATTGTTTATCATTCTAGAAGTGTGTTTTGGCAATACTAGAAAAACTGATTAAATTTTAGCATTTTCCCTTGGCAAGAAAAAACCACAATAAATGCACAATTCTGTGAATGTCAGCTCAGAAGTAAGATCCATTGAGTTAATGGTCTTACTGCCAGGTGTGTGTGTTGTGTTGCAGCCTAACCTTAGTTACTTTTTCTCCTTGAGAGCTATAATTATTGTTCCATTTTTAAAGGAACAAGTTTTAAATCTTAACCAACCCATTCTCTGTTCTGACACTATTAGCTGTGATGGACATAATGATAAATCAAATTTTATCATGGTGGAAATGATTTGCAATAAGGCTTGGATTACATGCTGCCTCCTACCTGCTCCTCTTCTGGCACAGCTGTGAGGCCCTAGGAAAAATTGACAACTTTCATTTTTGTGTTTGATTAACCACAGTATGCCATTTCTTCAAAGTCCAACTAACTGGTCAATCTTAAGAATGGTTTGTTGAAAGAAGTGAACTCAAGCAACAAGCTGTGAAACTGGCTTGTTTCAACAAACCATAGTTAAGATTAGCTTCTGTTTAGGGTTCAGATGTAATGATAAACTCCAGTTAATCAAAAAATAGAAGTGAAAGCTTTAAATCTCCTCCTGGAGGAGAGGGGAGGGTGAAGTGTGGGAGCTGAGACCACCTGCTGCTTATTCTCATCAGGATAAACCATGATTTAATCCCCGCAACGGGGTGAGCTCCCGTTGCTCGGTCCCAGCTCCTGCCAACCTAGCAGTTCGAAAGCACGAAGTGCAAGTAGATAAATAGCTCCAGCGGGAATGTAAACGGTGTTTCCATGCGCTGCTCTGGTTTGCCAGAAGCTGCTTAGTCATGCCGGCCACATGACTGTATGCTGTATGCTGGCTCCCTCGGCCAGTAAAGCGAGATGAGCGCTGCAACCCCAGAGTCATCCGCAACTGGACCTAATGGTCAGGGGTCCCTTTAGCTTTACATGTACTACAGAATTATCTGCAAAGTTCCTGAAAGTCTTCCGTTTCTGAAACCTCAGAATACAAATTTTGCTACAGAAATTATGTAAACATAATTTAATGTTGATCTTCTTCATCATTTTTATTAATGCATTCCCCCCCCCGAGGTGTACTGTTAGTCTTTGTATCATTCACCATAATAATAGCACTGTGAGGTAGACCTTAATATACCTTTTTAGAGATAGGAAGCTGAGCCTGAGAAGCTGAAGACAGAACTGGCAAGGATGTACCCAAGGCCACCTTACAGGATGAGAGTTAAACTGAGTTTAAATGAAATTGTAATTATTGTTATATGGTATTCTTCATAGACTTGCAGATCAAATGAGGATGATGAATTTTCCACAGTGGTTTGATCTACTGAAAGATATATTTTCTAATTTTATTTTATTTCTCAAGAGAATTAAGGTAAGAAGTGTACTTTATAGACTTTATATTGTTATTAAACCAATTGAATTTTGATACATTTGGACTTGGGTCTCTTGCATCAGCTGAGTGAAAAGCATTGGAGAGTCCTCTGCCATTATCCAAAAGCAGGCAGACTGAATCTCAGACAATACTTCACTGCCCCTTGCTCAGAGCATAATCCCTTTGGCAGGTTAATTGTTCTTCAAAGCTGAATCGCTGACATCCTGGGGCCTCTTAGGAGAATCACATTTTAAATTGAGAGATCAAGCCTTAAGGCTCCTGCCTATAAGTTACCCAAAGATATTGCTTCAGCTGAGTGTTAATTTTTATCCTCCTTTGTTAGATTTACAGTACACTTCTGAATGAATTGTATCCTTGTATGGCATTATAATTTATTTGTACGGCTGGAAATGGAAGTGAAAATTACCACAATTCACATGTTCCTCTGAGGTCAGGAATGGAAATCATACAAGCAAATACAGTGGACACTCGGGTTGTGAACATGATCCGTGTGGGATACACGTTCGCAACCTGCAGCGTTCGCAACCCACATCTGCGCACACGTGCGTTGCAATTTGGCGCTTCTGCGCATGTGCAAAGCACGATTTAGCGCTTCTACGTATGCGCGACCGCCGAAACCCGGAAGTAACCAGTTCCGGTAGTTCCGGGTTTCAGCAGTCCGCAACCCAAAAAAACACAACCTGAAGCGGCTGTAACCCGAGGTATGACTATATAAGCAGTATTCACAATCTTTTTACTGTGCGAATATTACACGATTGCATTATTTTCTACATTTTTTAATGTCTCCCTTCCATTGGAATTTATTGGCGTTAATTACGCAATTAACTACACTAGTTTCAGACATAGCAGATAGTGAGATGAATAATGTAGATTTTAGGAGAAGCTAAACTGCAGTGGAACAAGAAACGGTGCTGATTGTGAGGAACACAGGGTGGTGCGGAAATCACTGTTTCCTTCCATCCCTAGCTCTACAGTGTAACAAAACTAGATTCAACATTGTGGTGTGGGAAAATATTGTGAATTTCTTCATCAATTAAATCTCTCTACATGCTGATAATTCTAGAACTCTGAAATTGATACCGTACCTTAGATCAAGCCCTGAAAGATAACACTATCATTATTAATGTTTCATGTTTTATCCTTTTAGAAAAATATTTGGGGAAATGGCCTAATGGCTTAAGTGGCATAAATTTATTGGCCTTAGTTTTAAAAGTCTGCCAGTCACTTTTTGCAGAATTCATATGAACCACCATGATTATTGCATTTAGCAAGTGACAGAAAGATGTTATGGGGCAGCATAAATGATGTAAACATAGTGGATATGAATCATTCTGTTGTGTTCAGATTTTGCAGTATTTAAAATAGAAACATTCTTGCTAAAAGATGTACTCTTCAAGGAATTCAGCACTGTCTCAATTTTTTTAACCAGCACTTATTTTGTCTTAGGCAACACTAAATGTTATCAGAAGAGTGGTTCTCTTGGTTCTAGACAAGAACCAAAGGAGCAAGGAACTGGGTGATACTTCTGCTCAGAAGAACTCTGCAAAGGACAGTACCATAGACGCAGAACTGGTGTATCTGGCGCATGAGGGCATGTTCATAAGTGATGCCTTCAGTGAAGGAGACCTCCCCTCTGCAGCAGCTTATTCTGCCTCTCAGAGAAACCTTTCCCCAGACAGTGAGCCCAGCAGCAGCGACTCTGTATCTGAGCCAGAATGTACCACCGACTCCTCATCTAGCAAGGAACAGACTTCGTCCAGCATTACACCAGGTGGAATTGACATCATGTAGGTAGTAAAAAAAAGCAGGATTCAGTCCCCGCTGCAGCTAAACAAATTAACGAAATTAGCACAAATTCACTGCTTTTAAATTTGGAATTGAAAGTAAACTTTCCCAGATGCTCTAAAAATGTGAGCCTAAAACTCAGTTTCAAGTTTAATGCATATTCTGCCCATGTTGGCTTCTCAACCCTTGAGTCTAACACCTTCAGTTTCATAGCATTCTGTAGGTTCCACCCAACAGGGTCTTATGGGGACACTGCAGAGAAGATGTTAGAAGCAGGAAGGCTGCAGGGAGAAGAGAAGAAGGGGAAGTCACGGTGTGTGAATGGAAGTCTGCTCATTCAGCCTCAGCCATTAACTTGGCTTCTCTTTTGAATGTGATGATATAAATTTATGACTGTGCTCTATGATATGATAATAAATTGTCCCATTTTCGTTTCAGATCTAATATGATATAAGTATTCCAAATTTTGAAGCCCTTTGTTTTTAGTTGCAGTTAATTACACCTGAAGAGCTTTGCAGATTCTTTCTTCTTTTCTTACCTTTACTTTTCTCTGGTCTCTGTTTGCCCTGTTTAAGAGCCCTAGCTGTCTTCCCTGACTCGACACCCATATGAGTTAGGAATGGGTTTCAGTCCTCCTTTTTGGCTTCACTGATGCACCATATGGACATAGAATTTCCTGTGTTTGAGAGTAGATATTATACAGAGAGCAAGGCATAGACGCCACAACAGTGAGGTTACCAGCCATCCACAGCCTTTCCCTGTCATGATATTTGGTAACATCTTGGACCAGCCTTAGTTGGAGAACACTTGTGGCCACTCAACAAGTCAAAAGGCAGATCTTTAATATTTTTCCCCATTTCATTTCTATACAGCCTCATATTTTTAGGGAAAAACCTCAATGCAGTTTACAGCACATTTAAGTATTAAATAAAACAACCCAGAATAAAACATTACTGAAGGAAGTCAAATATAAAGTATACATTCAAAGCAACATGATTAACAGGAAACTAAAATATTATCTTAAAGATGTCAGAAAAAAACATTACAAAGGAGATAAACTACGGAATGCACACTTAACACAGCAAATAAAGCAAAACAGACATCTTACACATTTAAAAAGAAAGCATTGCTAAAGGAAATAAAATATAAAATGCACATTTAGAATGGCATAAATAACGAGAGAATAAAATATGATCATAAGCATAGAACATATCTGCAACTGTTGCTGCCAGTCCTGCCAATGGTGGTTCATGGCGGGTGGCAGCTGTGGAAGCTGCCAATATTCTTCCCTCTCTGGAAATAGCATGTTGGAAAGACTCAGGTTAGTGTATACTATGTTAAACAAAAATGTGTTCTAGTGGAATGGTGTGTAGATAATGTAAACACGGTGTAAAAGACTTAAATGATCAGTAATTGGCCATCAATTGCTTGGTTTTTTGTTTTTTAATTTTGGTCTTTTGGTATATATTATTTGTCACTTCACTTGCTGCTGCTATCTATTGGACAGTTGAAAAGTCAATTCTGCTCCAGTTCAGAGATTGTTATTGACATCAAAATGCAAAGTTCTCATTGTCTATGTAGTTGCATGTGAATCATTTCCTTTTTTGAGCAGACTAAGGGGGCACTGGATTGTTTCAGCTGAAAATTATGTGTCAACAAAGTCTTCCTTCTATTTCTTTCAGGATTGGTGAGGACATAAAGCTCTCAGAACTGGAACTAGGTAGATTAGCAAACAATATCCAGGACCTACTTTACAGTGCCTCTGATATTTGCCATGATCGTTCTGTCAAGTTCCTAATGGCTAGAGCAAAAGTAAGTTCCATGCATATACCTGCGTCCCAGAAGAGGTCCAGCTAGGGTCATTAATGTAATCATTTCCTTACACCTGGACCCAGCACAGTCAACAGGACTGATGTCTAAAAATAGCCTGAAAGTTGGAAAGGGCTTTGCTTTATATTTGAGATGATATTCATACAATAGCCCAGGGTGAGGAACTGTTGGCGGTTCAGGTCACTCACCTGTCAGTCACCTGATGACATAATGATATTAGATAGTCCATGCTGATGGCGCTTTCCTTACTGCATAGCCTTTTCAGTCTTTATAATGGGGTAGGATAACAATGAAAATAGTTAAGATGCTGTTACATCACCTTTTTCATTTAGGATGGGTTCCTGGAGAAATTGAACTCTACAGAGTTTGTTGCTCTTTCGCGACTGATGGAAACTTTCATCTTGGATACAGAACAAATCTGTGGTAGGAAGAGTATGTCATTGCGTGGTGCACTTCAGAGTCAAGCTAACAGATTTGTAAACAGATTCCATGAGGAAAGAAAGACCAAACTCAGGTATCTTTCTGTGATTATGTACATATTTGCTTCAAGGCTCCTTAATGCAACAGCTCCTGGAGCTTCCCACTACCACCACCTTTCGTAATGAAAGGGCAAACGGTGGGAGAAATGTGCTCCATAAGAGCCATCTGCCTCAGGGTTGGGTAGTTTAGCCCAGTGCCATTTCTGTTGCTTATAACTCCTTCCCATTCTAGCCTCTATTTGGTATCAGGTTTTTCCCTGAGTTATATGGCGTTGTTCTTAGCTCAGAGCAAAGTCAGGTGGCTAAATTGTTTGGCTAAAGTGTGTTGTCTGATCTGAGGAACCAGGGTTCAAATCCCTTTTCATGAAGCTCACAGGGTGACCTTGGACCAGTCGCCAACACTCAGCCTAACCTGCCCCACAGGGTTATTGTGAGGATAACTGAGGATGGGGGAAAGAGTCATGGGCACCACCTTGAGCTCCTTAGAGGTGGAATATAAATGCAATAATAAACAGTCAAAGAAAAAACAACCCAGTAGTTTAATCTGAGGCCCAGTGTACACATAAACACTAACAACTTTCTGTGCATTGCATCATGTGAAAAGTGAGGAGCTGCTTCCTATAAAGTTACCCAGTTTTGGCGTTACAGTTAACAGAGGTGGTTTAGTTGAAGTTGTCCAAACTGTATGGGAACTCACTTCACACAAATGCCTTTCCACATCTTACTGATGGCCACACATGTGGCTCACTGGATGTATGAGTTGGAATGAAATCTCTTGATGGTCAGACTGCCTCATGAATTTTCATTCTCATTTATTTCCATAAGGCTTTTGCCAGTACAGCTTTCTTTAGTATGCCTGCCACTGATTAGGATTTGAATCAATTGACTATTTCATGATTTCATCCTGGTAAGAAATTTGAAATCAGTACGGACACATAGCTCTTCAAGGCAATGTGTTCTAATTTTTGAACTCCCCCTTCCTTTATGTGTCTAAATAGCCTCCTGCTAGATAACGAGCGCTGGAAGCAAGCTGATGTTCCGGCAGAGTTTCAGGATCTTGTGGATTCTATATCAGATGGCAGAATTGCTTTACCAGAAAAAAAAACAGGAGGTGAGTTTCTTGGCTCCTTGTTACTTTAGTAATTTTCATGTGGACATGATGCTGCAAAATGTTGACAGGCAAATTTTATGTTTCTGGAGCAGTAGACCGTTTTTAAAGGGTTAATTTACTTTGAAGCACAGTAGCAAACTGAGGATGTTCAACCAAATTAAAAGAAGAGAAAAGGCAAAGGCCGGAGGGTGGGAGTTGGGAAGGTTTGTCACACCTTGCAGGGCTGCCTCCTCAGGGGGGCTGCCACCCATGTCCCACCCACCACTGACTGCAGCCTCTTGCTCCTCCCCTCCCATCTCAGGGCAAGGTTCAGGACAAGGAAGGGGATGCTTCCACCCTAGAATCTATCCTGGCTCGCTTAATGGCAGCAGCTGGAGCGGCCCAAAACAAATAAACCTTCATACGGCAAAGAGACTGGAGCTCCCATGTCAGCCCACTTGCAGCATGCTCATTGGCCAGAAAAGCACTGCCTGCCCGTCCACGGGACAGGAATTCCCTCTACCAACACTACCACTTCCTTCTGTTTCTTTCTTTTTCTCTGCTTTATCAGTGGAGAAGACATTCAAAGCTTCAGAAAACAAACCAAAGCAAGGTTCCACTTCGATCCAAATGAAAGCAAAGTTCTGAACCAAAATAAGCTATCTGAAGCAGGATTTTGGTTTTCCCTGTGCACTCTCTCTCTCCCACCCACTTTTGGGGCTTCCCTGCAACCTTCTCCGCCATACAAGGCTGCTGTGTCCTCCCTCCCCGACTCTTCTTAGCTACATATCCCCTCAAACTTGCCTGTTTCACCCTCCTGAGTAGGAGGAAAGGGGTTGCTGGGAATTCAGTCCAACAGAAGTGGCTGGAAGTTAAGGATTCCCCCCCCCCAATTCCCAGTTTTTGCTGATGTGGATAGTTGAGAGCAGCAAGCGCCTGAAGGGAACATGCCCCCCCCCCATGTTTGTGAGAGAATCCTGTGTGCTACAAGTTGCATGGGCAGTGCATGGAGGGAAGCGGGTTCTTCAGCCGAGCCCCTGTCCATACTTTCTAACTAAGAGCATGCCTTGCACCTCTGCATTGTAAAGTACATAGAGGGACTCTGTTGAAGAACCTGCTTCCCTCTGCACCTGAGCATGCGCCGGGGGACTAAGCTAGTCCCTCCGCTTCACGGACTGCATGCCAGTGTTATAAAGTGGAAATGGAGGAGTAAAGTACAGGGTAATTTTCATCCCTGGCCCTTTTTTTAAAGAGACAGTTGCAGTGTTATTTGTGTTGGTTTTAATTTTTATTCAATTGTTTTAGCACCTGAAGAAAGAAAGCCAACTGACTTCCTTGTTGTTGATGGACAAAAATATGCTGTAGTTGGGTAAGACATGTGTGTTCCCCATCATGGCAAGTTCACTTTTGAATATTAAAATATTTATTAGTTTTTGTGAAAGTTGAGGAAAACTCCCGAGTAAGTCTCCTGCATATAATTCTCTTTTTAAAATCCTCAGCAAATTTCAGTCAAATGTTTGTTTTCTTTCTTTTGATCTTATCAGGTGATAATTTGGGTTCCTCCAAAATCAGTAGCCAGAGATATTATATGGTACATACCACACCAGTATTTCTGTTTTAAGTCTCTGCTGTGTGCTCTGAACTTAATGTTTAGGAAATGCTAGTAAAAAGAAAAATTTAAAAATAAGATTTTTTAAAAAAAGTTTTTCATCTAATTGATGTTGCTGCTCTGACCCCAATGTACAGTTGGGATAGCAATAATTAAGTAAGAGTAGGAATATTTAAAAGAAGAGGAAGTACGGTAAATTTATATGATTTATCTAAAAGTGAATTGATCAACAAATGAAAGTGGTTCATTAACTTTGATGCCTGTTTTTTCTGGGTTGAGCCTCTAGAATATAAAAGAGAAACTGGTATGCATTAGTATTTTTATGTTTTAGCTGAAGATTGTACTGTTAATGCTGGATTCCCTTTTTATATTGTTACATTTATGTCCCGCTCTTCCTCCCAAGTTGCTCAAGGTGGTGTATATGGTACTCCCCCTTATTCTGTAAGGTAGGTTATGCTAAGAGACTGTGACTGGCCCAAGATCAATCAATGGAATTAATGTCCGAGTGAGGACTTGAACCCTGCTCTCCCAGTTCCTAGTCCAACACTCTAACCACTCCACCAATCTACTGTATATTTTGAAACTTTGTCTATCTAACCACTTATGCATTCAGTCATCACTTAAGATATCTTAACCAAATTTGGCAGGGTGGTTCTAGAGGTCATAGAGGAGTACTTTGTCTATTTTGGATAGGTTGCTGTTGGCTTCTTAGAATTGCTGAGCACTCCGTGTGTGTGTGTGTGTGTGTGTGTGTGTGTGTAGTCACAGCAGTATATTTCGTTGAAATAACTTCGGATCTTTTACCATTTTGCTGCAGAAAATTGCACCCTCCTACTCCGTCAAAAACACATTGGTAGTTGGTATTTGTGACTTTCCCTAAAATGCACCATCTCTTTCACTGACCATAAGCTAGCTCTACTGAAGCCAGTGAGAATTTCCCCATTTAATTCAATAGCATATGAGCTGAACTCACCTGGAAAGTAAAATTCAGGAGCCACAGTAGAAATTGGCAGGCAATGGTGTTGGCTAATAGCAAAAGATGAGAAGGAGAAGGTTGAAGTGTGTTTTTAAAGAGGTTTTGATGACTTGCAGTCTGAGTGTCTATGTTTGATTCTTTGTCTTGCAGGACAGTGTTGTTGTTAATTAGAATCATCCTTGAATACTGCCAGTGTGTGGACAGCATCCCCTCAATAGCTACTGACATGCTTACCCGTCTGTCTGATTTACTAAAGGTACAGCTCCCTCAGATCTTTCCTAAAATGCAGGGGATGTACCTTGCTTTTTAAAATATATTTTTATGAAATGGCTTTATGAAAATAAATAGCTATGGTCAAGGAAAATGTGGGGGGAAATAGCTTAACTGTTAACATCAGAAAACTTGTGTAGGACTTTGAACTCTTTTTGATGCACACAAAAGTTTGTAAGAGAGCTTTCTCTTCATTTTTTCACCTTGTGGGATGCCAAGCAACTCCCAGTGTTGACTTTGATATTTAAGCCATATGCCTTCCCTCCGTCCTGTTGAATGTCATTATTAATTTTTGTGCTGCTCCTAACTCACAGCCAGCTGGATCAGCTTCAGACACTGAGATTAAACCACAAATTAGTAAAACAAAGAATAACTTAATCTATAACTGAACAAATTCAAAGGCCTTGCCTTGTGCTTTGAAAGACCATTTGACTTAATGCTGCTATTAAAGGCCAGTAGTTTCAGTTTCTTGGAAGAGTTGTTTGTTTCTTTTTTTAGCACTAAGGTGCTGATTTCTGCAAGTATCTAGCTGGAATAAAATAAGTACTGTGGCATTGCATGTCTCAGAAAAACTAAGAACTTGGTAATTGTTGTCTTAGCTTTCCATGAGGAAGCGAGAATCATAAATGTTGGAAGGGATCCCAGTGTTCATCTAGTCCCCCCCCCCCAGTACGATACAGAATCTGCACTGAGAATGTTAGAACAACAGTTCATGGAAAGAGGCTTTTCAAGCTCACGTCTCTCCTCCACACTCCTAGAACCCTCTCCAGAGGCTCTGGGGGACGTAGTCCAGCTGGGTCAGACTAAAGCACTTTCCAGTCAAGCAGCAACCAGTTTTTCACCATGCCCTCTCCTCTCCCACTCTTTCCCCCCAGCAACTGGTGTTTGGAGACATGCTACCTCGGATGCTGAGATGGTGCACAGCTATCATAACTTGTACCCTTATCTTCCATGAATTTGTCTATAAGATCATAAGATAACTACAACATGACTCCCAATTCCCACCAGCCACTGTGTTACTGTTTACCTTTCTCTCTTTCTCAGTATTTCAACTCAAGAAGTTGTCAGCTAGTGCTTGGAGCAGGTGCCCTGCAAGTGGTTGGCTTGAAAACAATAACTACAAAAAATTTAGGTATGGATTTGGCTTAAACTTTCTATGGTCATGTAAATTCCCTTTTCATTTTTCTAAAGAAACTTCGAGTAGGCAGCTTTTCCAGAACATATTTTTGTGGTTGTAATGTGGTTGTATTGCAAATTCTTTTATGGGCAGTATGTGAAGGAGCTAGCATGCAATAGATATTTTAAAATTCAGTTCATGAAAAAGAGCTGCCTTCTGATTAACTTTTGTGTACTGGCACAGTAAGCCTTAGGAACATGCTGTTGGTGAATTTCTAAAATAAAAGTAGTATTTCCTCATGCAGAATGCTGTGCATATTTTCTTTATTGCAGTTTGCATAGGAAAAGATCTCATAGTATAGTAATAGCTCTTCTGTGTTGTTTTCTTCTGTTTTCTTCTCTGTCTTCACAGCCCTCTCATCACGCTGCCTACAGCTCATAGTGCACTACATTCCTGTTATCAGAGCTCACTTTGAAGCTCGCCTGCAACCCAAACAGTTCAGCATGCTTAGGCATTTTGACCACATTACCAAGGTATTTTTCTAATAATTTTCTGGATTGAAATACCTTGTTACTATTGTTGTTGTTATTAGGTAAGAAAAACCTGCATGCATTTTACATTCCCTCATTGGCCGTCGTTTTGGTGGTTCCAACCTAGAGGTGTGCATTACTATGGTTGCATAGTAATAACCTCAGTGCAATGTGAATGTCCATTTGCTCATCTGCCTTTGTTCATTGACAGTCCTGGGAATAGATGCTATAGGATCTCATAAACCTTTTTCTTTTCTTCTGAATAAGTTCGCATCCATAATACCAATTCCAGCAACTGCCAACAGATTCCCTTTGTGCTGCAGTCCCGCCTGCTCTTGCTTCCTTTCTCTAAACTCCCATCTTCCATACTCCACTGTACATGGGAGAAAAAGCTGTCTTTTAAGCATCTAGACAGTGGTTCCCAATTAGGGGCCCGGGGACCCCTGGGGGTCTGCAGAACACACTCGGGGGGTCCATGGCACCGTCCCCTGCCAGGGACTTGCTTATCTTGTTAACTGCACAGTGAAAGCCTTCCAGGGGTCATCCAGCCCCTGCTTGCTGGGAGGGGGAAAACTTGTGAAAGAGTTGGGGGATGGCAAGTAAACTGGGATTGGGCAAAAACCTCTGACACAGTTTCATATGTCTCTTGTGACTAGAGGGGAGGGGGGAAGAGGGTGCAAACAGCTCACATGCTTATCATTTTTTAAAAATGTAAGGGATCCCTCCCCCCCTTGCTCTCTACTTTTTCACTGAAAAGAACTTCTAATTGCTTTCAACAACTAGTTTAGTTTAGAGGACTCTCCCACTGCTTGTAGTACAGTTTTCAGTTAATCTTGCCTTATGAGTTTCGGATTCATGTCTCATCTTGGAAGTCCAACAGGGGAAATAGCTAAGCAAATTGCCACTGTGATTACCACAGCAGCTCAACCTCTGATGATTTAGTTTAGTGCTATGGCTGGGCAATATTATCTTTTCAACATTGTGATATATCAGTAGCTAATAGAGCCTAGGACTTGCCGATCAGAAGGTTGGCGGTTCAAATCCCCGTGACGGGGTGAGCTCCCGTTGCTCGGTCCCTGCTCCTGCCAACCTAGCAGTTCGAAAGCACATCAAAGTGCAAGTAGATAAATAGGTACCGCTCCGGCGGGAAGGTAAACGGTATTTCCATGTGCTGCTCTGGTTCGCCAGAAGCGGCTTAGTCCTGCTGGCCACATGACCTGGAAGCTGTACGCCGGCTCCCTCGGCCAATAAAGCGAGATGAGCACCGCAACCCCAGAGTCGGCCACGACTGGACCTAATGGTCAGGGGTCCCTTTACCTTTACCTTAAATACTGGTATATGCTGATGTATTACTATGTCTGGAATTTAATTTGGCTGCTTCTTCCCACCTTAGGGAAGTAAGAAGCAGCTGAGAAACATGGTCCACCCCTACACAGTGAGCGAGTTCCGATGCCTCTCGGGCTTATGTTTGATCCGAGGAGCATTGGGGCTTTGCTGAAATGCTCAGCTGGGGGTGGAAGAGGCCTCTCGTCCCCCAGCTGAATGAGCCAGAGTGGGGCTGGAAGCTCCATTAACTGCATGGCTGAGGGGAGCGGCAACCATGCACCCTTCAGTGGAGCAGTTTCATTGAGCCCCCCCCCCCTGCCAACAGCTGGTGTGAGCCCGGGGCAAATCAGAGGCTCCATCAAACTGCTTGGCTGAGGCAAGGGCAGCCGCACGCTCCTCCGCCGAGCAGTTTAAAGAAGTGGAGGGAGGAACAAGCTGTATTGTGCCTCGCCAATGCAACTTGATTCTGCTTCTGTTGGTGTGAGGGCAGAGTGGGATGGTGGCTTCACTCCGTGGTAGATCGCTGGTGAAACTGCTGCAGCTCCTGAGTTCCTCTGCTACCAGCGCCAGCTGGAGGGAGCCAAGAGCTCAAAGAGATTAATGAGTTGAGCACAGAAGGACTAAATAACAGTAATAAATTACTACTACTACTACTACTACTACTACTACTACTACTACTACTACTACTACCAACATTCCAACATTCCATCTGTTTTCCATTCAGTCTTCCCCAATACCTTATCAAGCCCTGGCCAAGCCTTCACCTATGTCTTGAAGGTGCAAGATCCCTTAGTTAGCAGAACCATATGCTGCAAAATTTTGCTAAGATGTACCATTTCAGATTAGAAGTAAGGAATAGCATGTTTGAATACTCTCTCATACAAAAAGCCTTCTGCATATAGAACACGTACAAGTTAGGGACACAATTCCTTTTTAAAAATTCAGTTGTACTGGGGACACGTTTTTCCTGCTGTCTAGTGATAGGCTGTTTTTGGTAATATCACAAATTTTACCTAAAATCCTTTAGTAAAGCTAAAATCCCCTAGGCTACCCCACATTTTCCTCAAATAATTGCTTTGCACAGGTAAGTACCACAGAGTTATCAAAATTTTCCTAAGTAGGGGTCTGTGGCTTGGCTTTAGAAAAATAGGGGGTCCTCAGTAATTAGCTAATTGTGAACCACTGATCTAGAAGGATTGGGGAAGACAAAGTCTTGTTTCATTTGCATGGAGATTTGGATAAGATAAGAAACTGTAATGGGCTTGAGAGAGATGTAATTTCTTCCATGCAGAAGGGGAAAAATTGCTTTTCCTCACCTTCATACTGTTGCACAAGTCAGGGAAATCTCTTGACTTTTCCCAAAACTCCCAACTGCCACAGGTGTTGGTAGTGAGGAGAAATGTAGACTAGACTAATTGGTCAGCCGGCATTTGTGGGCGCCTTACAAGTAAGTATTACTGATTAAAAATGTAGCAGCAGTGGCAAATGCATTGTAGTCATCTTTGTTTTTCTTCATGCCTTCTGGATAGGCTCTTTAGGACAGACTCTTGCATAAATATAAATAATAAATATTATATTCTTTTCAGGATTATCATGACCACATAGCTGAAATTTCAGCAAAGCTCGTAGCCATAATGGATAGCTTATTTGACAAGCTGCTTTCTAAGGTAAATATTTGTGGATAGAATCATGCTTCTTAACAAAGGTTTAAGTTCTTCAGCTCATATAGAATACTCAGTGGGTACATGGACAATACTTTCCTTGTTCAGCTGCTTATTGTTTCTTAGCAGTTCAGTATGCTTAGGTATTTTGACTACGTTAGCAAGGTATTTTTCTAATAATTTTCTGGTTTGAAATGTCTTATTTTTAGTATTGTTATTCTTAGCAGAGAATTATAGAGGATACCTCTAAGTTTTATCAGATAATTGCTCCAAGACGTCCATTGTGCAGTATTTTGCTAACTTGTTACATTAGTAGTTCACTGGCAAATAAAAGAATAAATGTCCGGATATGGACCCCAAACTCATAAGGCAAGGTCAGGTGTGCCTCCCTTATACGTGAAGTATCACATTCTTAAAAAAAGAATCCAGTTCCACTCCAAACACAGACTCTGTGTGTGCAGAGGTGTACATGTGAGGTTCCCCATGCAAACAGCTCCTCCCATTGCATGCTGAGCTATATTGTATGTACATAAAGTAATCTCTATTGTGCATCGTATTTGCATTTGCAGAAAACTTACATACTGTTCTTTGGGGCAGTTTCTCTTAACAGCTGGGAAATAAGATATTTTATGGTAGTTGTCTGCTCAGAATTTTACCACATTACAAATCATCTGTATAGCAAATCATAGTTGATGATGAGAAACTGAACCAGTCAGCAGAAAGATTATTACTCCTGATGAGACTAGGGTCTCAGGGTTGGATACATTAATTTAAAATACAATGTTAAAAATAGTTTAAAGCAATCTACTTGTGGTGAACCTGGCTCCAGAATCACAAAAATAGGGTGATTTAGGGTGAAACTCTTAAGAAGATATTTATCAGGTGTCAAAGGCCAAGGTAAAGATGCGTGCCTTCAGCATTCACTGAAAACTATGTGTTGAAGTTGCCAGACACAGCTTTGAGGAGAGAGTTCTACAAACTAGGGCCTACCACAGAGAATGCCTCCTCCTGGGCCACCACCCCAAGTTCTGTGGACAGAACTACCAAGCAGGCATCCCCTGCTGATCTGAAGACCTGAGAGGGTCCGTAGGGAAGGGGGTGGCCCTTCAGATATTTGGGGCCTAAATCATTTGGGCTTAAAATGCTAACATAAGCACCTCCTTAGATTAGGCCCAGAAATGAACTGGCAACCCATGAATTTCCAGTGTTTTTTAAAGTAGCAGCCAGAAAACAACTTCAGTGACACATTCCCTGTCTTTGTTAACAGTATGAGGTGAAAGCACCTGTTCCTTCCACCTGCTTCAGGAATATTTGTAAACAGATGGCCAAGATGCATGAAGCAATATATGACCTTCTTCCTGAGGAGCAAACACAGGTGAACCGTTTTGAGTGATGTGTTTATTTCTGCTGTAGGAGTGTCACATATGCTCCCAATGAAGTCTACACTTGCTGATTACTCATACAAGGAGGATCACATCTCATATTATTTAAGATCTTGGCTTAAAACGCTATGCATAAGTAAATTATTCCTTATTTTATGTAACACATAAATAGTAAACATTCAAAAAGTAGAGATTAGTATTGGAATAGCTTTACCTCATTTGAAATGTGGCGGCAAGTAAAGCCTTCAATTATGGAGTCTTTTAATAGCCTTGGGGAAACGGTCCACTAGGTATTTCTGTGTTGTCATGCTGAACCAGGTGGGTTGGTTCCCCCTAGCACTCAAAGGCAGGAATGTACTCAGCTCTTAGGAACTTGTAACTAACTCCTTCCCAGAAGCGACCTCATTCTTGTTTTTTTGCCAGGTTAGAGAAGGAAGAAATTGTGGGAGATCTGCAGTCAACCCTAAGAGTGCTAGTGAGTATAGAGTAGGATCAGTGATGGGAGAGATGTTCTTCTCTCCCTCTTTCTCATGCTGCACACAATGGAGGCAGACATGCCTCAACAGAGCTCTCTGCCTTTGCTGTATTTATCATCCCAAAAACAATTATCTTCATTTCTTAATGTTGCTACATGACTGTGACTTGATTAAGTAAAGCATTTTTAAACTAACTTCAGAGGGTGGTCTATTTCATTGAATGGGGTGGGGTAGAAGGGGGCCAGTTTACTCAAGCAGCAGGAATGGAATTAAAAGGTTTAATAGCCCAATCCTATGCTTCTTTAATCTGCTTGATGACAGATTTAAACTCTGCTACTGGGGCTCTTTATGCGCTAGTCCCGTGTTTTTAAAAACAGGCACCAGCCATTTCCCTATTGTTTGTTAACCCACACACATGGGTCCTCTTACCAATACCCATCAGAAATTTACAGGGTCCACACAGAGATGGAAGAGAGTTCCAGTTGCAAGCAGTGCCCAGTGGTATTGGCTTGCCAGCGACCCAGAGTAGTCTGCTGCCATCTGTGGGAATAGTGACTGAGGTTGCTTCTGGAAATGGGCTAGTTAGAAGTTCCTGAGAGGCAAGTATATTCCTGCTCTCGAGTGCTAGAGGGAGCCAAACCCACCAGGTCTAGTATGGCAGGATGGGAGAAGTAATGGACTCTTTTTATTTAAAACAAGTAACACATACTATTTAATTGCAGATATTGTCTCATTAATTTTACTTGTAAGTTTGTGTGTGCTTGGGCAAGGAGATTCCCATGAATCAGAAAATAAGTAAACCATTTCTTGGTACTAGTTTAAATATTATGGCCCCTGCGTGAAAGCTACTGACAACCATATCTCCATGGCCACATCCCAAGTGGGACTGTAGCATCTATAAGTAGCTTCACACCACCACTGTATATTATTAACCTTTGGCGCAGTCCATTAATGCAGAGTTGTTATGTGAGATGACATCATGAAAAAATATGCCATACTTAAGCATGGTTCTGAAGGAATGGGTTTCCCAAACCCCATGGAGGGGGGAGAGTACCCCTCCTCCCTGTGCCTTGGTGCGTTGGCCGGGAAACGCCAAACTGGGGTTTGGGAAACCCATTCCTTCAGTTCCAGGGGAAAGTATGCTCATTATTTTTTGTGCTGGCGGAAGTGCACAGTGGCTCATAAATGCGAAGTACATGAAACTGAGTACAACTCACAACTTAAGTGCATTTAACTTGCACACATATGATTGGCAATAAAATAAAAATAAGGAGGCAGACATATGGGGAAAGAAGAGTTTGGCAATCCTACCCACCACTGAACCCAGTGTGTTTTCACTACACAATTTTGGCTTTACGCGCTAGCCCCAGAACATAACCTTGGCGTAAGTTGAGTCTTCTGTATTCTTCATAGTCACTCCTCAAGAGAACAAAACCTTTCACCTTCTTATTATATATTCTAAAAAGGAACATCTTCTATATTGTTCTCTAGATGTTGTTTTTAAGAATTAATGCAAGCTACAAACTTCACTTGAAGAGGCAATTGGCCCACTTAAATGTAATCAATGACGGAGGACCTCAAAATGGGTATGTTACACAAGGTTTTTTATATAGGAGTTCAAGGGTAAGGCTGCTAAATACAGTCTATCTCTTTTAAGCATTTGATTGATACTGCTGGATGGCTGTGCTCAGAAAAGGACCTAACACTACGGGAAAGAACACAAGTAAACGTTTTGAGAAAGAGAATTCTAGCAAGAGAATATGGAATTTAATGGATGCATATTTGATGTAGTTATCTTATAGAAGTTATATTATTAAACACAAAACATAGTATTTTGTGATTTTGAACATCACAGCTCTTCAGGAATTGAAAACAGTTTTACTACTACCTTACACTAATAGTAGATGGTGATATTTTCTAACTGTATTAACTATACAGGGTGGCCCAAAAGTAGGTATACAGTTGAATCAATGAAATTCATCACAACAGATTATTTGGGTACACATAGATGACACACAACAAAGTTGCAGTTAAATTTCAGGCTGGCAGTTAGAAATAATAGTAGAGTCAGATAAAAGGATTATTGTGAATGATGACGGCAAACTTGAGTCAAGTACAAAGAAAATGGATTCTAAAGCAGTATACCTACTTTTGGGCCACGGTGTATTTGTGTTGAAATGCAACACAAATACAGTGCAAGGCAAAATAGATTAGGCTTAGCACACAAGACCAAGTGCACAACACTTAGCTTGAAACAAGATCTAAAATTCTTGCCTATAGATCCAGCCCTTTTGTCTCCTCAATGTGTTTATTTCTGTTTCAGATTGGTTACAGCAGATGTAGCTTTTTACACTGGAAATCTCCAAGCTTTGAAAGGGCTTCAAACCCTAGACTTGAACATGGCTGAAATCTGGGAACAGAAGAGGTGATAGTCCAGCAGAGCAGAATTGCCTCTTGGCATGGGATGGTTTCTTCTTTGTAGAAGATGAATTACTGGAACATAGAAGAGGAAGCTCCCTTGTGATGTGGTGAAAACCAACTATGGGAATGACTTTGATAGTTCTTTTGCAAGAAAAGTGATCAGTTCTCTGTGCAATTTCTTCATTCTTTCTGGAACGAGGCTCAGGTTTCTTTGGACCAAATCCAAAAGAATATATAGCTGTAACACAGCTGTAGTTTTCTAGAGAGTGCTCTGTAAATCTTTATATTAAAAAGATGCTTTGCATTTCCTCTAGTGCAATGAAATTCACATGGTGTCTCACCTTTATTTAATGATGGTAGTTTGAAAATTCTTGCTGTTGAATTATAGAAAATGTTTTCAGTATAAAACTTTACTGTTAAATTATTTTTTACAGATGTTTCTATAAAGTCTTATCTGCATAGATTTGGATTTGTTAGGGTGCATCCTGTTCCAAAGTATTTCTATAAATGATCTTCATACTCCCACCAGAAGATGACATTTTAACTGTTTCCCAGCTCTTGAAAGTAAAGCCCTGCAACTTATTCTGAGTATAAGGGCATGTTAATAAGATAGCTTATCATAGCCAGTAAGCTTGTCAAACTATGGGGGGCGGGGAGGTGTTGTGTTAATTTTTTGAACACTTCTTTTAAGAACCCCTTCCATGGACTTCTAATTTGCCAACTTCCATGTAGTTTATTTACTTCCTTTCCCACCTGCCCACTCTATTTAAAATGTTAAGTGTAGTTCTGACTACACACTTAAGTGCAGCAGGAGATGAGGCATGACTAATTTATGAATACTTTTTCTAATGCTACCTTTCAGGCTGGTACCTGCCTCTCTTAAGTAATGAAGTGCCTGTGTATTTCACCTCACAGCATTTTTACCTAAACCCAGTGAGTGCCTACTCTTGTGATGATTATGTACAATGATAGTCTACCATGTTTGTGTGCCTGTGATTTCTTCAGACAGGCATGCCTATCTGTTAACATTAGCAGAAGTCGCTGTCAATCAAATAAAGTTGTAAAAATGAGCTGTTTAAGAGAGCAACTTCTTTAAGAATAGGATAAGCACAATGCCAGATTTTGTTAACAGCAAAAAAGAAAATTCAGACAGGGGGCTTGATGTTATTTATTTCCGTACCTTCCAGATGTGGAATTTGTTTCCACATTTGTAACAAGCAAAACATGATTTAATTCTAAGAACATAAAGTACACTGAAGTGGTGATATTTTCCACTATTTAGAAGTACATTTAGGATTTCTTAAGTAATAGCTAAAAAGTAGGAGAAGCTAGAAGATGAGGGGTGACAGTAAAGGAGTAACATTCTAAGGTGTCTCTTCTTTGGGTAAACAGAGAGCAATAACTCCAGCTTTAGAGAAGGATAAAAGTGAGGTAACTGAGCAATGCTATCGTTGCTGTGATGGTACTATAGCTTGAAGGTATTAACTGCAGGAAGGAAGACAATGTTAACAGTTAAGTACTAGACATTTTAAACAGCTTATGTGCCATATTAATAAATCATCTAAGTGTTTTATCATGGGTGCCATTTATGCTTTATAAGGTGGTTGCACTTAATAGTTAACAGCGTATTTCACAGCTTTTTCAGTTACAAGCCATTCAAAACTCATTGAACATCAGCATCTTAAAACATCTTACACAAGAGATGTCTGCCTTTTCTTAAGACAAACAATATTGCACTTTAGATTATATTAGCTGAATTATAGATTCATTTAAAGATCTGCATCTTAAATATTCTTTCAGTTAAGAAAGTACAGAAAAATTACTTAGAAATAATACTGTTGGTACAGTGAGTGGATAGCTAAGTATAGAGACCTTCTGTGTACAAATCTAATGCCTATGGGTTCTTCCACTTGTGAAACTAGGAAATATTACCAACATCTCTATTAGTTCACTTATTGGATCAGTGATCAAGGATCCGAAGATTTCCAGAGACTATTTTGTTCTCCAATACAGCTCCTGGTGGGATATCTATCCTGTCACCATGGTTTGCAATGATGATGACGGTTCCCTACATAATAAAAGAAAAAGGGGAAAAAATTCAGATACTTTTTTTTTATTAAGGAAGAGTGTTCTGCTTGGACTCAGCTTTGGGTAACTGTTTTGAATTAATTCTAATACATTTCATACAGTGATTCATACAGTGAAACTTGTATGGTTGGTATAAAATAAATACATCCTAAATATTTAGCTACAGAAATTTGTAAAACTTACTTTACATACATTATGCAACTTAGTCATATTTAATAACTCTGCATACAAATAATTTCAGGCCCCATTTCTTTTGAAGACCAGCAAAGCGGTACCGAAGGTATTTCTATTTTGTCACTCCAAGCAGCAAATAATTCCACCATATTAATCTGAGATATATCAATACTTAGAATCCTGTGTACAGCTCTGGGCACACCTCAAAAAGGTACAGAAAGGCAACTTCCAGTTGAAACTTATCCCTTTTACTGAGAAGTCTCATTAGTCAATGGGACTTGACTTCCCACGATGTGGATATAGGTAGTGTTAACAAAAATCAAAGGCTTGGAGGAATGCTTAAAGTACTTGTGCCTTTTTATTTGAAGAAGACTTCGGGAGATAAAAATTATGAATGACTGCAGATCACAAACAGAAACACATAAACAGAGATGTAAAATATGCTAGAACTTAGAAGTTGGCAGCAAGTTCAGGACTGACAAGGCTTCAAATAATGCACAATTAACGTTTGAAATCAAAACTGATTAAACGCTCACAGTGTTAACTCAGGTCAGTTCATCTGAGGTCAAACTGAGAAGGTATCAAGACTATTAAGCAATGACAACCTAATGAAATCTCCATGTTTCAAGGCAGTATATGTGACACCTTGCAATTAGCAATCAAAAACTTTTAAAGAATGAAATAATCGGTTCCTGGCATGGGACACTTTTGCCCCCAGCTGTGGTTCCAGTCCAGATAGAAAGCACAGGGCACTCCATCTACATAGGAAGAAAAGCTTCTGTTACCACCAATGGGAGCTTTTCTTCCAGTGCCAATAGCAGGCATGAGAGACACAATCTGAAATGAGACCACAGCAGGGGCATATGGTCAAAGCCCCCCATGCCAGAGTCCCAGTCCAGATCAGGCCACTTTTACAACTTTTATAGAACCATCCACACTATTTCTAGTTAAATGAGTGGTCCCTGGTTGAGTCTGGTCATTAGAGATGCCACATGTCATTTCTCTTACAGAGATTTAGCACTATATTTTCAGATGTAGTGTGATTCTTATTTTGGGTACACACACTGGGAAACAAATGGTTTTCAATAAATTTCTCGAAGGCAAATATATACTTTCTTTCACATATTACATGTTCTACATCCAATGAAGAGATGAATATTTGTATATTTAATCTTAAGGGAGGTTGACAGATCAACAATTTCTACATGTTATCAAAATACAAAGGCAATTTGTATACAGAAAATTGTATTACCTACCTTTAATGCAACATTTTTGCCAAATGTGACATCGCCTGAAACAGTCAGATGATCCAGTTCTAGCATATCTGGTATACTTTCAAACCTCTTCAGGTAATCTTGAACCTTTTCAAAAAGCAGACATTAAAGAATGATGCCATGTCATCATGAAAGATTTGTCTGGAAATTATTTGAAATATAAACAACTACATGGCCTACCTAGAACTATGCTTATTTAGTTGTTTGTCGTGGAATTTTATAACTTTCTTTTTTCCCTGACCCCTTTAACTAAAGACAATTATTATTTTCCTATAGTTTCATGCAAAATGCAAGTGATTAATGGAAAGGGAATTGCAGTCATGGGGGCAGCAGTCCTTTTCTAAATTCATCTAAGTTTAAAGGTTTCTGGTAGGCATCATTGTTATTCCTCTGGAAATAAAGGTAGGCTACTCGTAGCTTTAAGAGGTGATTACTTGAAGAAGCTGGGGTTGCAATGTTCACACCCAGGATAGAACAAATGGGAGCTTGCTCATGCCAATTTGATGGATCAACACACCTGACTTGGATCTGGGTTAACAATGGAAAACTGAACTGAACAAATGAGATTGTGTAAGCATCCACTATCAAATATGCCATTGTCATAGGAGAATATTTATAAGAGTTCTGATGACAAAAGCAGTTTAAAAATAATGTGAAAACAAGGCACATCAACCTGCTTCAATAGTAGGTATTCTGGTCAAATGCTGATGTGAAGGAAGTCAAGAATATCACCTGTTTCCCAAGGGGTTTTCTAGTAAGGGTCGAGATTTTCCAGTTTCAAGATTTTCAAACAAATCCACAAACCAATTAAACTGTGCCACTTTCATTTAAGTGCATCTAGTTCTGCTGAAGTAAACTGAGCCTAGTATTCCCAATTTGAGCTACTCTGCCAGCAACAGTGGTAAAGACATCAGATAATACAGAGCTACTCTACGGCACGCCATCTAGAGAAGGCAGATCTGGCTAAAACAAACCACACAGCTTAGATAAAAATAATGGCCTTTTAAATCAAACCTCTCAATTAGAAAGAGACTTAACACATTTTCTTTGTTTCCTATTATCTAAGATATATAAGCTGCTTTTGGGGTGGGAAACAAAAGATGAACAGGTGAAACCAGTGATGATACACTGGGCAGGGGATTTTAGTTATAATACAGAAATGGAAGCATGGAAAAGGTTATGGAATGTGGATTTGAAATTTACAGCATGTTATACATTGAAAGAAAATTATATGAAAATGATGTACAGATGGTACTTAACACCCAGTAAATCAGCAAGAATGTATAAGTCAAAATCAGACACATGCTGGAAAAGTAAATAGGAAAAGGGCACATTCTATCATAGATGGTGGTCTTGTAATATAGTATAAGACTTCTGGGAAATTATTTATAATGAATTGAAAAAAATGTTGAAGGTAACTTCTATTAAAAAACCAGAAGCCTTTCTTTTAGGTATACTAGGGCAGGATATACTGGAAGACCAAGCAAAATGGCTTATGTATGCAACCACAGCCACTAGGATGCTCTTTGCACAGAGCTGGAAAGAGGACACTGTCCCAGCAAAGGAAGAATGGCAAAATTTACGGGAAGAGTAAGAAATCAAGAAGAAAGAATGGGGGAGTTATGTGGGTCATCTTAAAAATATTGTAAACAAACACACCAGCAGGATTAATTTAAAATCAAGCAATTAAAAGGTGACTTTGGAAGAAATATAGAGAGAAACAAAAGGAATTAAGGAGAAACCAAGGAAGGGGAGGAAGGAAGTCAAAACAGGTAGGTATGTAAATGTAATT